TATCTATCTATCTATCTATCTATCTATCTATCTATCTATCTTAGTCTGCTCAAATCTATCTTTTGTGCCATACGATGTGTTAATAATAATTTATAACTCAATACTTCAATTTTAAGATAAAACAGTATTTAATTACAATCGCAAATAAATATTTGACAACAACAAAGGACGGTGTCTGAAGTTACTCATTTTCTTCCTATATGATAAAACTACTAAAGCTCCCATGAAAATTAAATCTCAGCATTAAATGACCCACAAGGAGTTGATATGCCGCTAAACAAACAAAGAAACAAAAGCACATCGGTAAGCGCTACCCTATACGCACATCTACGTCTGCCCCACCGTAAGCCTACAACAATCAAACGATCAACGCTGGACTCGACTACCTTTGTCAGCTTTAGTTAGAAAACGTCCATTGTTATTCAATAGAAAGAGGGCAATTCTCCCTCACGTTAATACACGTCTTTACACTGAACGACTGACTAAAGATCTCTTAGAGAATCACAGTTGGGGAAATATTTCTTCATCCATATTGCTCGTTCTTATTGTCAGTTGTAAAAGAGATTACAGAAGAATTTGGATACAAAGGTTCGCATTAATAGAAGTGGTTGAACGTGAGATGGCCTCGTATTTGAGATCAAATCATGAAGGATTTCACCAAGGTTGCGTCTATAAACCTGTTGACAGATAGATTGAGGTTAGAGATGATTGGATATTTATATAAGCATCAGTATATCAATCTAAATAAATGAACAGCAAATTCTGTCTGACCGTCTTTGTGTATGAAACCCCGGGCCACACACAGCTCTACAGATTAGACCTTTTTGGAATCAGGATGATCTCGGAATTGAAAATCTGCCCATCAATCTGCGTGAACATCCGGCATTGGAATTTGTCTCCGGATCATTTGGAAAGAGTTTAAATTTCAAATTTGAAAATAACTAAAAAAAAAAAAAAAAAAAATAGAGATTTTAAAAGTTTTAAATTTATATTGAGCTTCAAGTGACATAAAAACTTAAAATTTTAAATTCAGTTTAAAATATATTAAAGTTTTTGGGAATTCAGGAAAACAATTTCATTTCTTCAAAACGCTAAGAAATCGGTTTTAAAGTGAGAAGTTTCGTGAAATTCCACACAGTCTGTGATTTGTTCCATTCTATGTTCGGAATTCAAGTGAGATTTTGAAGTTCGATTGAGTGAATTGAAGAAATTCATAGTTATTTCTTCGACATTGTAATTGCTGTTTTCTAAGCTGGACATTTTCTAAGCCATTTTCAAGGGCTGGGTTTGTTTCGGGGCGTTATTAATGTCTCTTCATGTTTGACTGCATAATGATAATAATAATTGACTGAATATTTTTGTGCTGTTTTGAATACTACTTGGAGCGTTTCCTCTGAACCTTCGCCTTTTGAGTGCGCCTGGAATAAATGAATAAATAAATTGAAAATGTCTGAAGAAGCGCCTGGGACAATAGACAATATGGACGATTTTTTTCACTCCCTTTTTTCCATCAAGCGGAAAAATGTAAGAATGTCAGAAAAGAACTTATTAAAGTTATTATTTAAAATTCATTGTCTGAAATATTCAACGAAACATGTTTAAAGGGAAAGGTTGCTTTAAAATAAATTATATATAATTATATATATATATATATATATATATATATATATATATATATATGTGTGTGTGTGTGTGTGTGTGTGTGTGTGTTAAGACATTTTTATGTATATATTCTTTTTTTTTACATACAAATATTTAAGTAAATAATCTGTTTATAATAAAATAGTATTAACATTTACCGGACTGAAAGGCCGATAAATTATATATATATATATATATATATATATATATATATATGTATTTGGTTCGATAGATGTGAGTTTGTGACCCTGGGTTTCACGCTTTAGCGATCGTCAGACAAACTGATTAATGTTTAAAAAAATTTGGGTTTATGTAGATTGCGTGTATTGGTGTTATTGTGGAAGTGGGGGGAAATTTCGTCGTTTTGTCATTCATCGTACTAACGCAAACATCGATGTATGCAGACACATATACATACTTGGTCGTCCGCCGGGACTCATACATATATAAACATATGTGGGCAGTTTCGGATATGACACATGTATGTATACGGGTGGTGTTATATCTATACATACGCATTTGTATGTTGAAATGTTGAAATCTAAACATTGGAAGTGTGACGGAAATGTCTCGTTGATGTGTATACATGTCATATGTATTTTCCAGCTTGAAAATATTTCCTCGCATGTATGTATATGCGTGTGGTGGGGTTTGTGTAAAATTATGATAGGTAAAGATTATTATTATTTATTTATTTTTTTTTTTTTTTTTTTTTTTTTTTAAATTTTTAAAAAAAAGAAAAATAGGGCTTTATTTGTTATATTTAAAGCTGGTTATTTGTTTGTTTTTTGGTGACTGTGTATATGTAACAGGTAGAAATTTGTAATCCTTATTGGTTAATTTATATGGTGATGTTTAG